GGGCGATTTTGTCAGGGGTCGCCATGGAATGAGCTTCAGTTCTCGACTGGAAACCAATTGTCTGTGATGTTCCATCCTGGACAAACAGTTGCTCGTGGATTTGAAGCACAATTTTCTGTACTGTCTACCACAACAACATTACCTTCAACAGGGACAAAAGCGACGAACGAAACAACAACAAGTAATGAATCAAAAATAAGAACTGATTCAAGAATGGCAACTACGACGAGTTGTAAGTACTCTGTAAACTTTCTTTGCACTGAATATTCCAGATTAATCGGACGTTTGTTTTAATTAAAACAATTAAACCGCAGCCACCATCCTCTTTCATCGTCTTAACCCTGAAATTATCTTGAAATGCTTTGCTCTTTCAGTGACTGGTTCCAAATAAGAGACAACATGTAAGCTCTGCCAAACATCCTTGATTACTTTTTTACAATTGCAATAGTGTGTTACGTTCAATGAACAAAATAATGTTGGTGGCTGGGGGGTACTTAGCTTTCAAAGAAAATATTTAATATACAAAGACGTTTTTATTTTAACTATCTTATTTCGAAGTAACAAATCTCGGTTCTCGCCAAAAGTACCTTAACCCTTAAAACGACCCTGTTCTTTGTGAGCCCATTACAGGCTGACAATCAGTTCTTTGAAATGATTCATAAGTGCGATAAATCCAAGGGGTGGGGTGAGGTTTGTTGACGACCTTCTATTGGGTTGACAGATTACATAAGTGACTGAAATTATTAGAGATCTTTAACCTACATATCTTTGACAATCAATGATCATCATATGCTATTACTAAAGTAAGCAGTTCTTAAAGACTTTCTAAACATTTTCAATTATTTGTAGTGCCAAAGAAATCCTTATCGGCAGGTGCCTCCGTAGGAATAGCATTGGGTAGTGTGGCTTTTGTTCTACTCGTCTTTATAATGGTTTACTCTTGCCATCGTCACGGTGAGTCCGTTCGCTTCCTTTCTTATGGGAGAAGGGTCTGATGCAACAATCACCTCCCAGTTCGTCCTGTGCTGGGTAGGGTACCTTACTTTTGAGATTTCTTATGACGAGGATAGATGATTAGGCCAGTCTACTCCTTGAAATTTCTTTGAGGGGTGCTAAAAGTTTTAGTGGAGAGAACTAGTGGGCTGCATTAGAGGGCTCTACGAAGTCTCGCATTTGCCTCTCCTCAGGGGATCGTAGACACTTCCGGGAGTGTTAGAGGTCTTTATCTGGGCGGATTTTAAGAAATATTTTCTAGGGCCAAACGTGGAACCCGCTATTATTTGGGAAGAAACTCTCTATGTCTTTAGTCCTCGGGAGAGTTTTAATGGAGGCAATTGGCATGGGAAGTAAACCATTCCTAGCGGTACCAAAATTCGAACCGTATTCCTCTCTTGGGATTCTGCCCTCAAACCTGCTCTCGACGTTAGAATAAATTGAAGAGTGCAACATCCCGTAATTTGAAACATTGCTTATTCAACAGTTAAAAAGAACAAGAGAATCATTTCTCCGAGTAACGAAGGCACTGAAATGGAAGAAAACCAGCAAAGAAATAAAAGCGGATGTGCACCCGACACCTGAACATGAGTTACGACAACCCTAAGCTATTTGGATCAATTGTTTCATTTCATGTGCACTCTTACAATAACCAATTTGGGATTCTAAACCAGTTTACAATTATTTGGATCAATTGTTTCATTCCATGTATATTTAGGCCTTAAAAAGCCTCATTGGGTAGCAGTCAATTGATTTCTTTTCCTCGATGACCGCCGAAAAACTCAAACGAGCTCACCTACCAGCCGCTTTACGGGATTGTGGGCTCACAATCTTTTCCATTTTCAGGGAGGAGTTTTCAGGGATAACAAAAGGGGATCACAACTCAAATCATCCCACCTTCCTTGTCCCTCAGGGGATGAATAATGAGCGGCCCTTTTGAGTCATTTCCACAACGGACACAGTAATTCTTCTACCCTATGTAATGACAACAATTAACAATTGGTTCATACGTCAGCGTGCGTTCATCGAGATATGAAGCACGCGGGAAGTTTGGAGAGCACGAAAGATGCGTAAGAGTTGCTCGAGGCGTAGCCGAGGGATCTCGAGGGATATGCTTGCTGACGTCATGAGCGTGCACAATAGGAATATGAAGCACGCTCGCGCAATTGAATTTGATTAGACAAATTTACTAGCTATGTTATAAAACGATTTGATGAGTGATTTATCCAGTGAGGTTTAATTGGGTGAAACTAACAGATTGTGCGAAAGTACGACAATAGCTCGTAGTTGTCATTTAACCTGGTTCGCCTGGGCTCACAGTACATGTTTGCGTAATTCGATGTTTAAAGTACAATAAAGTAGTTTTCAATTGAATTGTTTCGCTTTATTTCTTACTGAAATTGGCCATAATACCTTGCACCACTACCCTTACCGCATCCTTTCGGCGATGTACGTTGGATAACAATTGTTGAATATTCTTCAGTATAATGTAAAAAAGGTGTGAACAAGTCTGACCCCAGGATTCTGTAAAACCTCCATGTTTGACTAGTTTACACTATTATTTGTATGCTGTGGCTTAATGGTAGCGTGGCGCTTCTTGCGCAACATCGATGGAGCTGACATCCCAAAGTCTGTGTCGAACTCTCTAAACTAAAGCGTTCCTCAGGTATGACAAGACAAACTTTATTATTTCATACTGACGTCATGTTTTCTTATTAAGTACACTAATAACTTGAACCGTTTCAGCGGTTTATAGAAAGAGCAGGAGGAGGGGTTTTCCTGGAAGAGAGGCTTGTTAGAAACTTTTCTCACGTGGAGGACTTACTAGAAAGAGAAGGGAACAAGAGGATGTTCAGGGCACATGTTCAGGGCACATGTTCAGGGCATTTCTATAATCTCTTAGGAATTTTTAGTTAAAAAGTCCCAGCGGTCTAACCAGTGAAAGCCTGTGAAATTTTGGTGTTGCTTCTGTCTTACAAGATGCCATGCCATACAGGCAGCTCAGTCGGTTAAAATCTGCGAGAAAGGTCTATTTTACAGGTTAGGATCGACAATTTCTCGAAAGTCGAAAGGATCTACCTTCACTTCACAGTAAACTCCAGCTCTCTCACCCACTTGAGAGGCGTCTAATGTGAGTTAGGATTACAATTCTGAGTGGCCTTCATTAATAACAAGTATTTCTTACCTACAGCATCCATATGGGAACACAACTGAGCTAAAAATCTTGCAATAAACTTGCGTCTCACAAAAAATCTTTAATTGCTAGCCTTAAACCAGTTTAAGAGATCAGGTGCTCAGAAAATACACGGAGGAGTCAGTTTTAATGGAAGCTCGTAGTCCAAAATTCAGCTGAGAATTCTCTGTGGTCTCACATAGAAACCATTACAATTCACAACTTCTAAGAGAAGTCGACAGGAGCTTTGTCCACTTTCCCCCTTGGCTCAGATGACATCGAACTTCCTTGCATTTGGGATGAACTGTTTCTAATCCTTACTTGTATTTGTTGCAGTTGCCTCCTTGACTCTAGTGACAAGTGATCGTAAGTACTGATAATCTTTTTATATTTCTATATTTTAATGAATAGTTTTGTTTCGTATTTAAGTCGACAGGGTTTCTTACTTATTACTAACGATAATGATTGAGTTGGTGCGTAGCACATTTTCAATTCGACATTGCTAAAACTTTTATCATTTTTAAAGACATGGTAACAACAAGTATAAAAAACAATTTCAAGTTCTTCATTATCCAGTTCTTTCGTCTACAGTAATAAATCGATAGAGTGACTAAAAACTCCTCTCTTTTTCAGCCTGCAACCCTACTGGAGAATCCATTAATGCTACTAGTGGTCACATTTCCAGCCCCAATTTTCCCGACAACTATTTAACTGACTGACAATACTTTTAACGTTAGTTAACAATTATTCACCGAAGTGGAGGTGAATAGTGGTGGATATTTACCGAGCCGAAAAGTGGCGAAGTGAATATCCAGCACTTTTACCCACAAAGACAGGTAACTAGTTATTATTCATTTTTTTACTATAAACCACACAGATAGCAAAAAATACGTTTACTCCTTACAATATACCGAAAAATGGTCGGAAATTAATTACTTGGCGCGCGATTTAGGTAACCGGTTAGGAGGTGAATGTTACTTGCTATTCAAAACCGAACCAGCCAATTAGGGCGCGAAAAACACTTTTCACTTGTGTGGTATTAATACTACTGAATTTAAAAAACAATTGATAAGAGGATAAAAAGTAGTTAGCTTTTTTAAGTTTAAAAAGCAAATATAAATTATTTGAATAGAATAGCTGATCTTTCGCCAAACGTGCCTTAACCCATTAAACGAACTCCATGTCGATAAGCTCATCCGGCAGGCTGACAATCAGTTCTTCCAAATATTTCGGTGGTGCGAGCGTTTGAACGTTTTAAGCTCGCGATCGTTTTGAATGGTTTATCCGACCGGCCATGTTTGATTTGGAGTTAGAGTGGCCAGTGGGGGTAAGGGGAAGGGGAAGGGTGAGAAAGGTGATTTTCACTCCCCTACCTCCCCTACCCCCTTCCTTATTTTTGACCGTTGACCGTCGACCGCCTCCTTGGTACAAATTTCTTTTTCTCCCCACCGTTCCGCTGCCGTTAAAAACAAAGATGGCGGCCATAAAAATACTGAGCACTCGCCCGCCAGAATTACGCCTGCTCTCCGGGCTAACGTAACATGGAATCTATTTGTTAAATAGATATAACCTGTACCCAGTGTAACAAGTCATGAGATTTACTATTTTCTTGTTATTTTTTTCAAAGGAATTTGATCGTATCTTTAATTATTTAGTATCGATAAATAGATCATGCTTCTATGACATGATTGTCTGAGCATTTCTCTCTCTTTCTGTAATTTATGTTACCCGGCAACCAACAGTACATAGCAAGGGCTATTGTTTTCAGCACATGTTTTGGTTACAAGCCTTCTCCTGAATGGATTGAAACCTGTGATCCGGAAAAACTTCCGTCTGACGAATTTATTGTAAATATGGTTTGCGATACACAATATTTTTAAGAGTTTCAGGACTCCATATGTTGAGTAAGTATTCTAAATATGTAAAATCAAATAAATCGGACGTTCAATATATTTTCCCTTGCTTGCTGTATATTACTCTCATGACTGCTATGCACGATTGCATCCATACAAGAACTTGCACCAGCAAAGTCCAGCAGAGGCATATTGTGAAAATGGCGGCAAATTTGAACGTAATCGAAAAAATTATTACAGGATTCGCAATTAGATCAGTTCAAGAACAAGGTTTGTTGGGTCACGAGTACTGTCGGTTGACAAAGAAAAAAGTTTTAGACTGCAGGTGGCACAAGAAAGGGGTAATAGAATTCAAGTTTATGAAGAAACCGCGTGCTATGTGCATGTGAAGTAGACTGAGGTCGAAAGGTTACATCATTTCTATTTTCGTCGACGGGAACGCGTTTGTTTTTTTTCGAGGTGTGGAGTTTCGTCGAGTGGAATACGCTGGCATCTCCGTGGTTTACAATTCCAAGATTCTCAAGGTTTTAAGGCACGCAGAAAAGTAATATGAATTCTTTATGGGCATTGCAATTTTTTTGTGAGAATATGTAAGTGAATTTTAATGACCAAAAGATACAATAGTCTTTGAGAAACGTGACCGAAGATGTGAACATCAATGGCTCTGATTTCAAATGTGTGATATTCCGATGGACAATAACAGAGGAGAAATATGGTTACCGCATATTGTTCTGTTATCGTTCAATATTGTTGTGATATCATTCAATATTGTTGTGATATCGGTCAATACTTTTGCCAGAGGGCTACTTGATTAACAGTCTTCCCCTCTGAACACAAAAGACTTCAAAGTTGTTTCAGCGGTTCTTCTTATCAAAATGATGTCCATTTCAAAAATAAAGTTTGACATGCATGCGGTCTCGATACTGCTTCGCGGAATTTTGAACAAATTTTTTTCTTTTAATCTTTGTATTTCCAGTACTGTTTTAACCTAACCACCTCCTTGTGTTGAAATCAGGACCGGGTTCAGGGCTAACTCCAAATTTAACATGTAAAAATTAACATATTTTCCAATTCCTACGTACAGTTATCTCACTTCTCCGACTGGTGAACTCATCTGATGGTAAGTACTGTTAGTCGGCGGCATTTACTATTATTTAGGCAATTTTTGTTTCCCAAGGATGCTTTATGATCATCAGATATGATGAAAGCATGAAACCATGAAAAATGGCGCCATGAATTGGTTAACAATTGCTCGAGCATCGTGCGCTGATGTCCTTGTTTGTGCTATAACGTGTCGATATTCGTAAGGGATGCATATGATATTCGTGAGGATGTTTTCAACAAGCAGAGCAGTCTTTCCTAAACTTGTCAAAGCATATCTATTACTGAGCATTCTGTAGACCTTTCAAGGATTAAATTTGTATATTTCTGCACGTTTTGACTTGACTGCCATAAATTCACCCATCCAAGCTAATTTGAGGGTCTGTATGGGGTTAACTGACAAGTGACAAATGGCAAAAATTTTAAAATCTAACTGACAACTTACATTTGTAAGTCATTTGTACTGACAGTTGGCAAAAGACCGGATCGCCCGAAATATCCTAAAAACTGGATGTAAAATCAGGAAAGTTTATTTATTTTGTTCAATAAAAGTACGCTTTTTAATACGCATCAGCAAGAGTACGCGAGAGTGTCATATTTTGTTAATGATTGCCGCATGGATCATCCACATCAAGGTCATATGTCACATATCGGTTGTATTGTCTTTGATACCCAACTCGATCGTCAGATTACGCCATGGCCGTCAATGCTGGTATTTTAAAAGCTGTTGTAAGCTTTTATCGAATTGATTCGGAAACGGCATTTGAGCGTCATGTAAGCCGTATTCCTATTAAATGTAAACGCCGTATGGACGCTGAAAAAGCACCTTATTTCATTCCTTGGCTTATGGAGTTGTCCAGCAAATATGGCCTCGGAGATTTTGATGTGAAACTTTATCCCATGGCTCCGAAATCAGGGGGGACGAGCAACAATTTTGCCTTAACTACGAACGAGCAATGGAATCGGGAGCTTCCTACCATACTGGCTGGAACAGGAAGCGAATTAAACAGTATGTATTGGAATGGTTGGGTATTTGGTAATGATATTAATGTATCAGTTAAAGCCTGCTCTGTAGTGTAGAACACCTATAGATACCGATTTATAAGCATTAAAGCATAAAGCGCACGTCTCTTCCAGATGCCGTAAACAAAGAATCGTATGTAAATGACAACATCACAAAGACCGTTTCTGAGGTGAAACAACGGCACAGTATAAAGGAAATCACAGCAACAAATGGCCCTGAAGGAACTGTGTCTCATAAAATTCAAGTCTCACTTAAACTTCTCGAAGAAGGAATGCGCTGCCTGCACAACAGCATAGCTTCAATTAACAACGATTATCTCGAAGACATTGAATTGTGCACGTTACTCACAATTGTTGTGGAGAATCTACACGCAGTCTCCCATTTTAAGGATGAGACCTTCACCGCATTGCCGTATTCCCAAGACTTTGGAATAATTACCAACCAAGTATTTTACTCATGAAAAATCCTACTATCGTGTTCCCCACAGCACCACAGAGTTTGCAAGTGTCAACTTTATATATGCGACCGCTACCTTCAGAGGAGATCAACCCCGAGACTGAAAGTGCTATGAAAGAATCGGGAGTGGAAGCGTAGAAGAGGACAGTGGGGGTTTTTCCTTGCCCTGCTTTTGAAGGGTCCCCTCGTCAAGGAGAGAAGGAGAAATGAACTAGTTTTTACTGACAACGTCAGTAACGTCAGAGCACATTTTATGGCTCGACAACAACGACACTGGCGACAAGTTCGTTTACTCTGAGGTAAAAAATAAAAGACTTATCTCTATTAGCAAGCCTTATGCTTGTGTTTGTGTTCACTCGTTTATAGCTTTTCCAACTGCCTCAAGCTGATACTAAACTTAAAGAAGAACTGTTCATTACAAGATATCAAATAAATTTTCTCTCTCTGATATTCTTGATGGAACTATGTAGCTCCAAATGCAATGTCAGTGGCTGCTTTTGCAAACTTGAGGTCGAACTCAAACCTGTGAGCACGTAGATTGCAAAATCTGTCAAAAGGCGACCAAAAAATATGATGCCCATCTTGTCAGGTTAAATTGGCTAAGTCACGCAATTCGAAGTAATGTAACAATCACGAGCAGATAGGAACTCACCGTACACCATTATAGACCGCGTGCATATTGACGAGATCATTACTGATGCTTCCGGTTTGGGATCTCACAAGTTCCCTCAAGAGGAAGCGGATAGAATTGAACGACTGTTGAAAGGTGGCGATAACAGTGACATTGCCTCTGACGACGAACTCGTCGGAAATGAAGAGGTATCCGATGAGGAATCTACTGATGAACCTCCTACACGTGCGTTTGTCAGCACCAGGTCGGGGAATTCAGCAACTCGCTTACAGCTGTTTTGATTTATAATCAGACATGTTGAGGATACTCTTTGCTAGTTCAAAATGGGTAAACCGGATAAACGGGCAGGGTCACGTGTTTCTTATCAGCCGAATTATGAACTCTTAAAATGAAATTGGAGATGTAACAATCACATCGCCGAAATCACGGGAACTTAATAAAGGAGGATATTTACAGCTTTGTAATTTTCACGTTCGTACTAATTGATATTAACGCAACTAACATTGGTTTAGTGTTTGTTAAGTTTATCTTCGATAACAGTCCGCTTTGATCTCCTCCTATTTTTAACACCTGTGTCTTTTTTTTTCGGCTTTTACCTTTTTTTTCTGACGTTCTTTTGACGTTTTAAGCTGTTTTTGAAATGTGTCAGTTGATTAAAGAAACAACATCCTTCAAAATCAATTTCTCCAAATTTCTTTTACTATTAATCGATCATAATCGATCTACAAAGAAACTGCTTCGCAGCATTTGTATAACCCTTTTTACAGTTCCCGGCGCCATATTAGATTAGTAACCGCGCACATACGATAACGAGGCTGGGGTTGATCCGGCGGTTCTTTCAAACAGCTGATCTACAGACATTTCACGTTCTAATGCACTTTTCAATGCGATTTCTCCCTTCAAAATGGTTTTAATACAACGATATGAAATTTCCGTCATTAGATGACATCCAGAAACTCAAAGCATTAGATCTCAGGGAGACTTTAAAGTCTCATTCAGAATCGGTGGGCGGATTAGAGCCGACTTTGTGTCGAAAGTTTATACTTTGCTGATGTGACACGTCCTCCCATCGAGTAGAACCGAGAACTTCTTACAGGTATCTAGGACCTATAACAAAACCAGAGCGACTTCAAATACGACGCAACTATGGTAAGGATTCAGCCCTTGGATGGTCGAGCGATCTCCGTGATTTACCTGTGATAAATTTCATTCAGCTTTACGATTACCCCGTTGTTTCCACACGAAAATATCGCCACATCGTGTTGAGAGGAACGCATTACGATAAGCTGAAATCCTATCAGTTCTTCTTCGAAGAAAACGTGAAAAAACTGGAGGGCAAAATTTTTGAAAACAAAACTTATGTAAGGGAAAATGTTTTCACTCGATGAAGAAAACACCTTACAGAGCTGTTCTGGAGTTCTCACCTATGTGTGATGTGTTACGCGCAGCGTGTACGTACTCTGCTGTTCTCGGTCTCCAAGTAAAAGGAAAATGCAACCACATCGGAGGAGTGCTGTTTGCTTTTGAGGATTTTACAAGAAGAAGGTTCCAAAATAACCCAAAGCCATTAACCAGCACGCCGCGGCTCTCAGTGTGAGTGATACCCCGCAACCAAAGAGTGGCAGCGAAGCCAATCGACAAAGTATTGATTAGAAAGATTCCAGTTTTTCAATAATAATCAGGGAGGAAAACAAATTCAAAATTTACAACAGTATAAAAGGTTTGGAATTCGCTCTTTTTTTAAATAGAAATACAATGCGCTTACGACCATACCTCGAGGACGACCATATCTCGCGGACGAGAGGGAGCCAAGTGGGATTCCTCTCCTCCCCTCTAATATCTCGCATCTTTTTTCTTTCATTTAAACTCTCGCAGAAGAATTATCCAAATGAAACTCTTTATGTCGAAAGCATACAGCACTTTGTGTCGACCTCTTCGTACATACCATTATCTTATGACTCAAGAACTGAAATTGTCAGACTCGTTAATGACGTCAAGGTCTCGCTAGCCTTTATTCCGTCTGTTGCCTTTCAGCTTGTCTTCGTATTTCCGCAGTTAAATACGAAACACAACTGACTTATGTCGCTCTGTTGATTTCAACTTCATCGATTCTTCAGCGGTAAGAAGATCGAGCTTCGTTAAAATAGAACAAGAAGTTTGGATACCATTATGATTTCAGCCTGGATCCTGATTACATTTTGTGGTGAGTGAGAATTCTTTCATACGAATGATTAATGCGCAAATTTCACTTCACTGATCATACGTGCAACAAAGGGAGGTAATTCTTGTCAAATCGTACGAGACAAATTAAATGCCAAGTCATGCTCATTGAGGAATTCAAAACACTTGATCGCTCGCTGAACAGGTGTAGACATGAACAAAGGTACTTTGCATTCTTAGGCTACTTTATTTCAAGGAATATTGAATCGTTTCGTATCAAGAAATGGTCCATTGTTTCGGGTCAACTTTTCCATTAAGCATAAAATAAAAGTCCAGAGTAATTGGTAGTCCTGAGGGGCGGAAAAGCTTGTAACTGATCGAGAAAATTATCGGAGTGACAATTTTGCTGCACAGGGGGAGTGGGTTATGAAAATATGCACTAGTAAAATCAATCTCCATCGGTGTACCCAAGGGTAGACTTGACCCTCGTTTAACGCATCGAGCCAAAGATTCGCAAATTCAAAAATAATTAAACTCATCCGTATTGCAGTGACTCATTTAAATCACCTCTCTCTATATGTAAGTCAAGTGGAGATTTGTTTCTGTCACTCAAATAGACAGAAAACGTTAAATCGATGAATAAGTTATTTCTGACACGAGAGGAAGTTAACATCAACAATTGATGATAAAATATAACGACAACGCCGGCAAGTATATATCACTGAACATTTTAACCTGACTGCACATTCATTGAAAATAGCGATTCACGTATGAAGTTTTGCCAACAGGTGACTTTTATGTCATAACTGTTTATTTTTACACCAGGAGCCATGAATACGAAAAATTCCTGGTGAGACAGTAAAATCCGAAACCGAGACAATTTCACCTACGGTTCACCATATGATTTCAGTCGCTGTACTCGGATTCTTGCAAGGTGTTATTTACGACATTGGAATTTTGTTTTACTGTTAAGATTCGCTCTTTTACATTTGTTTCTTGTATGATATCAACAATTATACCGAGATGTTTTCAAACGGTTGTAAAAATACTTTTTCCGCTCACTTTGATAACTCTGAGTTTTGAAACTTCAATATCCCCACTGGGTAACCCGAGAATATTTGACTGTCGTCCGTCCCCAGGGGAGAATTTGAACCGAAAGTGACAAGTCTTTCTAGCGGAAGGAAGGAAGGAAGGTTTTATCTCTTATTACAAATATAGGGTGTTAAAGGTACAGAGTTCACGTTCGCGGGCAGATGGCTCAGAAGAAGAGGTCTACAAGTTACTGATAAATTTTAAAGCTTGGTCAATGAGAAGAAAGTTACGGTCGCCGATTTTGCCTCGTATTAAAAAATTGACTATTAAATCCAGCACTTGAGTAAGACATTTGAACACTATCTTGGCTCGGCGGGGGAGGAGGATTTGAATAAATCAATTTTCAAAAGTTCGAATGCCCTGGGGTATACCCGGGAAGATGTTGAAACTTCCACTTGATCGACGCATTACTCTCGCTGCCTTTTGAAGGAGACCCTCGTCTATAAGAACAAACCCAAAACTTTGAAGAAATGAGAGACTTTGAGGCTGAAACGAAAAGCACTGAAAGAAAGTTTTTGAGGCAAAAGCTAACGAGATTTCGAGATCGGACGAACACTTTGTGAAACCTGGTGTCGCAATTTTTGGGACAGGAAAAGTGGGAGGGGAGGGTGTTTAAAAAACGCACTGTCGGGAGCCAACAGGAAGTCATATCATTTCTCCTCGCTTTGATGAATATTGTGTAAAGTCTCTTTTTGGCTGGTAATTGTTGAACAGAAGTTTTTTTCATAAATTTCAATGACAATTCTGTGAAGTGGCAGTGGGGTTTTCAGAGCTTGTACAGCATTTAGAGAATTTCTATGCTCTTTCATTTCTTTTATTTAAACTTATTTAAATGATGCAGACTCATCAATGACGTCAACGTCACACTAGCTTTTATTCGGTCTGTTGTCTTTCTGCTTGCTTCCATATTTCCGCGGTTAAATACGAAACACAACTGACTTATGTCGCTTTGTTGATTTCGACCTCGTCGATTCTTCAGCGTGAAGAAGATCGAGCTTCGTTAAAATAGAACAAGAAGTTTGAATACCATCATGATTTCAACCTGGATCTTGATTACATTTTGTGGTGAGTGAGAATTCTTTCATGCGAATTATTAATACGCAAATTTCACTTCACTGATCATACGTACAACAAATGCATCTAGAAGTCACATCTGTTTGCTTTTACAGGCCAAAGGTTTGAATTATTATTCTGAACTTGATTTTGCTCTGTCTGCCGACTTCTAATCGCTAATAATCAAACCATGTGAGTCAAATTAAATGTCAATTCATGCCCAAACTGATAGTAGATCGTTCGCAGAATAGGTTTAGACATGAATAAAGGTACTTTACATTCTTAGGCTACTTTATTTCAAGGAATATCAAATCGTTTTATGTCGTCACATCAAATGGAGATTTGATTCTCACACTCAAATAGAAAGAAAACGTGAACTCGATGAATAAGTTATTTCTGACACGAGAGGAAGTTAACATAAACAATTGATGATAAAATATAACGACAACGCCGGCAAGTATATTTCAACATTTTTTCTTGATTGTGCATTCATTGAAGCGAATAGCGATTCACGTATGAAGTTTTGCCAACAGGTGACTTTTATGTCCTAGTTTTTTATTTTACACTAGGAGCCATAAATACGAAAAATTCCTGATAATACTAGATTCAGTAAAATCCGAAACCGACACAATTTCATCTACGGTTCACCATATGATTTCGGTCGCTGTACTCGCATGACCACATTGATTACATGAGTAGTAAAAACTTCACCAAACGATCAACACACTTAGATGCATTTATTATTCTCTGATTTTCCATATCCTACGCATGGCTGTACACACTGGGGAAATAATTCTAATGCTCTTTCAATGACAATTCTGTGGAGTGGCAGTGGGGTTTTCAGAGCTTGTACAGTCTTTAAAGCATTCCTATGCTCTTATGTCAATTTTTTAGAAGAAATTCTAGAGGACTAATTACTGACAACTTGATTAGATATTTGTGCTATTCTTTTCTGGTTTTCTTTCGAGGCACGAAACGGCTCGGGACGCTTTTTGAAATTAAATGAGGCAGCCTGTTTAAAATCTGCGAGAAAAGACCATTTTAGAGCTGTCGATCTGAACAATATCACCCGCGTGATATTGTTCAGATGACCTCAAACTTTTTAGCATCTGGGATGAACTGTTTCTACTACTTACGTTGAGACACGTGTTCACATGTTCGTTCTTTGTATTTGTTGCAGTTGCCCCCCTGACTCTGGTGACAAGTGATGGTAAGTATAAATGTTCGTCTTACATGTCTGTATTTTAATCAACAATTTTCGTCTTTGTTTAAGTCAACTAGAATTCTCATTCTTAGTAAAGATATGGTAACGAAGGTGCTCGTTTGCAACACATTTTCAATTTCTATTTGCTTGAATTCTTTTGTCTGCAGTAAGAAACCAAGAGAGTGACTGAAAGATACCTTTTTTTTCAGCCTGCATCTCTCCTGGAGAATCCATTAATGCTACTAGTGGTCACATTTCAAGCCCCAATTTTCCCAACAACAATGACAAAAATAGGATTTGTACCTGGAATATCACGGTACCTGGTGGGAAAATCATCAAAGTGACCTTCTTGAACTTTACCCTGGTAGCAGGTGAAAACGATGACTGTGCTGGAGCGTCAGATGATAGTGCCCGAGTCTTTATCACAAACGTTGCCTCTCATGGAGGAAATCCCAATGACTTTAAGATCTGTGGTCAAAAGCTTCCCCATCCTGTGTACTCCGAGGGAAACTTCATTCAAGTGAGATTTGAATCTCGCGCCGGCACTGTAAACAAAGGGTTCAATGCAACCTTTGAGGCGATAGATGGAGATTCATGTAAGAACTTTTCTTCTATGGTAGTTTATTAACTGGAAGCATACAATTGTACTGAGCACGTACCCCTATTAAACTGAGTGAGAATTATGTTGAATATATCAAACTTCATTCAAGTGACATTTGACTCTCATGCCGGCCTTGTAAACAAAGGGTTCAATGCAACCTTTGAGGTGATAGATGGAGATTCACGTAAGAGCTTTTTTTTCAGGGGTAGTTTATGAAGGAAGTATAGAAATGTACTGAGCATGCGCCCTATTGAACTAAGCGAGAATTATGTTGAGTATAACCTGAAAATAATGAGGTAGACAATCTTTGAACAGCCATAGTCTGTAGAAAAAAATTGAATGTATTGAAGCCTTTCACTCGGACGCAAGCTCTTTATATTTCATGTCAGTTACATTGATTTATGTTTAAACCCGTCAACATACCGAAAAGGAGCTGTAGGCGGTATTTTAAATCAACCAGTTAGCCACACTGCTGTGTAAAAATCAAAACTTAACCAGTATTCGATGCCTGACACAGTCTTTGTTACTCTTAGTAGGCGGTATTAAAAATCATCTAGTTGACCACCGTGGACTGTAAACCTCATTAAAACTTAAATAGTTTTCGGAGAAAAAGAAGCTTCCTTAAGATTTTTCTTTGAATAAATTAAGTTTCTTACAGTAAGTAAGATGCATTTTACTAAAGCTGGCAGTCTTTGTTACTCTTTTCAGTGTGCCCAGCAGATATGATCCTCGATGAAACATCAGGTTCTTTCTCCTCTCCCTTTAATCCAAGAAACTATCCATTCAACAAGACATGTAGCTGGAAGATTATGGGGAAACAAGGATACCGTGTTGAGCTCACAATACCAGACTATAATCTTGAACGTTGCGCTGCTTGCTCGTGTGATTATTTGGAAGTTCAGAATAGCTTCAGTGATAAAGCGCTACCTGGAAAACTATGTGGTACACCAAGGTTTACTCCTTTAAAATTTTATTCACTGAACGAAAGCTTGAGGGTGGTGTTTGTGTCCGATGATACAAACATGGATTATGACGGATTTGGGGCAACTTACAAGCTGTTGAACTACAGTCCTCCAAGTAAGTAGAGAAAACAACTTGGTGAGATCTAAGAGTTCGCTGAGAGAATATGTTACATGCAATAAACTCACCCATACAAGTAATGATAAGGAGCTTAGTTAATAAGAGTGGAGGTTCTCTCTGTTATCAACTCAGGGTGAATGCGAACATCTCTGATGTATAGTGTAAGCAGTGATGTACTGGGAAGCCATGCCAACCTTAATTGAATAAAGGTAGTAGGTTTCCAAAGAAACTGTGGTGCTGCGTCGGTCGCGGAGTATAAGAAGATAATTTGGTTTCATTAACTGCGCTGATAATGTAAATTGATCATTGTAACGAGTTTCAAATATTCATATTCTTGCCTTGGGGCTACTCCCTTATAAAAGCCATACTGGAATATATCACTGTAAAGGGTATGGTTTTGAGCCGCTTTGGTTTGTATAGACTTTGACCATTAGTCGAATCAACAGTTGTATGGTAAGCATTTCGATTGGTTGTTATTTATCAGCTATTGGAGAACAGAGGCATAAATGACATCACCATTTACAACAATTTGCTTCTTCATCGTATATGAAACAATTAGATTCCACATTGCCGTGTGTCTGTTCAGGAAGAGATGCCATATGATGTCAAACTGTGGTCATCAGTGACACTTGGCTGCGCCTTGCCTGCCACCTTTTTGTTCTTACCATGTGGATTTTGACGGAATCTGTGAAAGAAACCATATATCTATCACCAATCCATGTTCATTCTGGCCTATTCCCAGAGTTCTAGTTAGTCAAACAGAGCGAAACAGACAGAGGCAAAATAGTAGTGGCGTAGTGAAAAAGAGAGTGAGGTCTGGGTCTAGTCGGGAAAAGAAGAAGGTGATTACACAACATGACCCACACCTCCCTCGTTTTTTCTTTCCTCTGCTACTCTCTCGCTGTTCAATATGGCATTGCGTTTTACCAACTGAATGCCCGGAACAGCCTATGGTTATTCTTCACCCTCACATGCTCCTTTTTTCATTGTTTACAGTTTGTCCCAAGGAAGCAATTCCTCTCTCAGGCAGCGGCAAAATAAGCAGCACAAACTACCCAAAGAGTAACTACACTGCGTCCAGAAATTGTACCTGGAACATTACCGCGCCAGCTGACAAAATTGTAAAGTTTACGTTTACTGACTTTGTCTTAAGTGAGTGTTCAGCCAATCCTTGTTCGGATTCTTGTTCTTATGTGGAGCTTTATGATGGTGGGTCAACAAGTTCGCCTTCGCTGGGGCGATTTTGCCAGGGGTCGTCTTGGAATAAGCCTCAGTTGTCGTCTGGAAATCAAATGTTTGTGATGTTCCATCCTGGACAAACAGTTGATCGTGGATTTGAAGCAAAATATGAGTCTACAATGGCCGGTGGTGAGTACCCCATGAACTCTATTCTGAATATCCTCTTTTATAAACATCAGATATTTTTGTGCGCGAAATTAGTCTCGACGCGTTACGAAACCGACCATGCCCCAAGTTTCAACTTATTTCATACTTCTACATTTTTAGGTGACAGACAGACTTTCGCCGCTCACCAAGATCACTCTAAGTTACTCTCACTTTCTTTTGAAAGAGCGAGCGTTTAACTTTCTCTTTCACGAGGGTCTCAAGGGGTTAACCGATAGCCGTAAAACGGCCAAAAAATTGACCCAGTAGGCGTAAAAATTGACAGACTTAAACCGTTAGTCGTCAACAATGTTAACCGTTAAAAAATAAATTCTAGTACAAAAATGGAATGATATTAACCGTTCGCGTTAGCCGTAGAATCGCTAAAGTTTTTAGCGTTAGCCGTAAAAGCTATCACCCTATTGAGACCCCCTTTCATTGGAACTGTTTGGTGTCCGGTTATTAAAAATATAAAAAAAGTGAATGAAAACTCCTCTCTTTTTCAGCCTCCAACCCTATTGGAGAAACCATTAATGCTACTAGTGGTCACATTTCCAGCCCCAATTTTCCCGACAACTATGACACAAGTAGGATTTTTACCTGGAATATCACGGTGCCTGGTGGGAAAATCATCAAACTGACCTTCTTGAGCTTTACCCTGGTAGCAGATGAAAACGATGACTGTGCTGGTGCGGCAGCAGATAGTGCCCGAGTCTTTATCACAAATGTTGCCTCTCATGGAGGAAATCCTAACGACTTTAAGATCTGTGGTCAAAAGCTTCCCCCTCCTGTGTACTCCGAGGGAAACTTCATTCAAGTGAGATTTGAATCTCGCACCGGCCTTGTAAACAAAGGGTTCAATGCAACCTTTGAGGCAATAGATGGAGATTTACGTAAGAGCTTTTCTTCTATAGTAGTTTATGAAGGAAGCATAGAAGTGTACTGAGCATGTACCCTATTGAACTAAGCGAAAAGTTTGTTGAGTATAACCTGAAACTAATGAGGTAGACGATCTATGAACAGCTATTGTCCGGAGAAAAAATAATTGAATGTGTTGAAATATGTACATTACACTGATTTATGTTTAAACCCGTCAGCATATGGAAAATGAGCTGAAGGCAGTATTGAAAATAAAGCAGCTGACCGCAGTAAAGTTTAAACTCAAAACAAAAACAGTTTTCGAAGCCTGACACAGTCTTTGTTCCGTTTTTCAGTGTTTCCTACAGATATGATCCTCGATGAAACATCAGGTTCTTTCTCCTCTCCCTTTTATCCAAGAAACTATTCATTCAACCAGAGATGTAGCTGGAAGATTATGGGGAAACAAGGATACCGTGTTGAGCTCACAATACCAAACTATAATCTACAACATTGTGGAGACGCTGCTTGCTCGTGTGATTATATGGAAGTTCAGAATAGCTTCAGTGATGAAGTGCTGCCTGGAAAACTATGTGGTACACCAGGGTTTATTCCTGTAAAGTTTTATTCACTGCACGAAAGCTTGAGGGTGGTGTTTGTGTCCGATGATAAAAACATGGATTATGACGGATTTAGGGCAACTTACAGGCTGTTGAACTACAGTCCTCCAAGTAAGTAGCAAAAATAACTTTGGTACATCTAAGTCGATCGTATCAACCGACTCAACTGCCATAAAAATTTATGAAAGACATATACTCTTCTCTTCTACCTATAAAAGAACGGTAATTAATCATCACCACGGAGGGGAGGGGGAGTGGAGCATTTTGGTTGTTTAACGAAAAAAATTTACCTGATCTCTGATGTTCTGTAATATTTTTATATTCCTCCTTTCGTGGCAGCTAATTTGCAGTTAACTTTGTAATGTTTCCCATTTATACTCTGTTGGCGACGACTGACTCGTTCTACTCCACATGAAAACCATGATGGTTTCCCTATTAAACTCCTCCATCCTCTTCACAGGCCATCAGATAGCAGGTCCCTTTTTTGGAACTGCGCATTGCCCAAAGCCAATCTCCTTTTGAAATACCATATGCGTAGCTTCTCTTCCACACCAATCCATGATTTTTCTCCCAAACTCATATACTCCTTTTTCATTGTTTATAGTTTTTCCAAAAGAAGCAATTCCTCTCTCAGGCAGCGGCAAAATAAGCAGCACAAACTACCCAAAGAGTAACTACACCGCGTCCAGAAATTGTACCTGGAATATTACCGCGCCAGCTGACAAAATAGTAAAGTTTACGTTTACAGACTTTGTGTTAAGTGAGTGTTCAGCCAGTCCTTGTTCGGACTCTTGTTCTTATGTGGAGCTTTATGATGGTGGGTCAATAAGTTCGCCTTCACTAAGGCGATTTTGTCAGGGGTCGACCTGGAATCAGCCTCAGTTCTCGTCTGGAAACCAAATGTTTGTGAAGTTCCATCCTGGAGAAACAGTTGATCGTGGATTTGAAGCGGAATATTCAGTATCTTTTCCCAGACCAGCAATATCGACAAGTCAACCGGCGACGACATTTGTATTGAAAACTGCAAATGAATCGGGAGAGAGAAGTAGTAAGTACCCTGTGAATTTTCTTTGCGTGGAATATCCTGGATTATGGTAACCTTCAGCGGTCGACTTGTAACCTGACCCCTAATCGCTGAAGACATCGTTTGAATAATTTGCTCTTCCAGTGACTAGTTCCAAGCAAAAGACCTAGTAAATATCTTTAAAAATAGTGAATTATATTGCAAAATTTAAAACTTAATTTTTTCGATTAATTGTAGCGTCGAAGAAATCCTTACCACCAGTTGCCGCGATCGGAATAGCACTGGCTGCTGCGATTTTTGTTTCACTCATCATCATAAGGGTTTACTATTACCATCGTCGTGGTAAGTCTGACCGCTTCCTTTACTGGCAGGAAAAGGATGTGGTGTAATAATCACCTCCCAGTTTGTCTTGTGCTGGTTAGAAGACCATAACTTTAAGATTTATTATGACGAGGATAGATGATTAGGCCAATCTGATACCTGAATTTTCTTTGATGGGTGCTAAAAATTTTTAGTGGTGAGAACTAGCGGGTTGCATTAGGGGGTTCCAGAAGTACAATTTGCCTGGTATACTCTCTTAGGGAATCTTAGATACCCCTGGTCGTGATCTGGACGGATCTTAAGAAGTAATTTTTCTATTGTCATGCATGGTGCCTCCTATTATTTGGAAAGAAAATGTCTATGTCTTTGGTCCTCAGGAGAGCGTTTCAGGAGGCAATTGTTGCAAATACGCCGCAAAAAGCTATAGCCCGAAAGAAATAGTCTGAACAAACCAATTATAGCATGAGCAAAGGTTAAACCATATTCCCCTCTTGAGAACGTGCTCTCTTGTACGGTTTTAATTTGAAACATTGCTTGTTCTTAACAGTTAGAACTCATCCTCTGCCTAACGAGGACAAAGAGAATTAACATGCAGCAGATCTCCAACTGACACCTGAACATGATTGACGACAAATTTATCATAAAGTTATTACATTATTACAATAATTTAGGAGACAGTGTTCTCGAGTGGTCAGAGTGCTGGATCTTAAGCCCGGTTATCTCTTTCAGGTCCAGGTTCCCACGCTACCACTCAACGTTTTTATTTTTAAATAATAATAATAAAAATAATAATAGCAATAATTTATTATCTTATATTGCGCATGCTAATTGACGTTATGATCGCGTGCACTTCACCAAAAAAATATGGAACATATGATAAAATTAGCAGATAAAATACGATAAAAAAACTAAAATCGCTTAAAAATTGCGATATTCTCCGTTACTTTGAATTCAACACCTCAGCTGCACTCTCAAAGTAACCAACTGGTCCACTTCCTGTCAGTCGGGATTTAAACCAGTTTACATTTATTTGGAATATCTGTTGCACTGTGTATATTTAGGCCCTCAAAAGTCTCATTGAGGAGTGGTCAATTTTTTTTCCTCGATGAACGCCAAAAAACTCAAACGAGACTGACATAATAGCCACTTTACGAGATTGCTGGCTCACAATCTCTTCCAGCCTTTAATTGAGTAACTTCGGCGGAGATCTAGGTGGATAAACTGGAAACGATTGTGTCTATCCACCCGTAGTTAAACTAGATCCAGACCCTTGAAGTGTGGAAACATAAGAAAGCTTTGAAAAGTGACTGAGACAATACACAAGTAATTTAAACTTAACAGTTATATTAAATCAACGGTCTCTGACTCACATCCCAAAATGTTCGTCTCACAACAGTCAGTTAAAAAACTAATTAATTTGAATGAGTGGATTGAAAAACGTAGAGTTAAACTTTTTTTGAGGAGGACTAGAGCGCCAGAGACACCCAAAGAGTCCCATTTTTGACAGTCAACATAGAAAATAGCATATAGCATTTCTTTTTTTTTTTTAAATTATATGTTATGTAAAAAATAAAGATAGAACGTGTGTAGTAACGAGCGAGATAACTCAACAAACACAGCAAGCACGCCTCCCCACCCCCCCCCCCCTTTACCCCAAGACCCTAAGAATCCTGCGGACTGAACACCTTATATAATAATGCTTCCACGTCCCTAAACACGTGACCACCATAGTGAACTGGGTCCGTCAGTGAAATAGTGCCAGCTGGATACGAATCGCTGATTGGATAAACGTCGATGACGTCAATACCAGCGCGGCACATAGCAGAAGTGGCATACGCATTGTAGAGTAACACGCGCTGGAAAGTTAAAAATCGACGAACGTCTTTGTGAGGATTCGGAAAACGCTCTCTGTTCAGAGCAGTAGAGGTCTTCCATATAAATCTGCCCTTAAAAATGCTTGTTGTACTTTCATTGTGAAGCTTTGGCTGTCCTTTGCCTTCAGTAACAAGTCTTATTAGATCATCAATAAGTCGTCTGTAATTTGTGAAGTTCACTGCAGCAGCAAAATGTATGCCCATGTTCATCAAAAGAACACTCTTTTCAGTCATAGCTGGATCATGAAGCGTCTAAAAGGGAAAAGTGAAATGATAGTACATTTGAAAGAATTGTGATTTGTGAGCCGAGTATATAGCAACAACTTGTACGAATAAATACACAAATACGAGGAATTTCGTAGTAAAATGATGTTCCCTACCAAAACATTTAATTCAAAATTGGAAATCATTCAAACAGCTCTTAATTGCACGAAGAGTATGAGCTATTCAATGTAGAATGTAAAGTAAAGAAATTTTCAATTGAGTGGTTTCGCTTTACTTCTTTTTGCCAATAATAGGCCAAAATGCCTTGCGCCACTATCTCAACCAGTCAGATCAGATCCAAGGCTAAAACCAATCGCGGAGGATACTCAAGTTTTATCGCGCTACAAGCAATTTAATTGTTTTACTTTGAGTTCCTATTGGCTGTTGTGATTCTTTTTGTTTATTTCTGAATACAATCAACGGAAATGCGCAAACAACAAACTTGGTCATGATTTCCTGTCACAGTGCCTGGGGTGGGGCTTACTTTTTTGACGTCACTTATAACTCGCTCATGGTCGTAATCCCGTCCATCTGGTACCGGTTCCCTTGGTGATTTCACGCCATCGCCCCAGTACCCCTGCATATCATACACCCAGTGATAGACACTCTGGCAACTTCCAAAGACCGCTTTACAAAGCCCACTGTATGGACCGGACGTCAGTGAGCTCATAAAAGCGTTCGAGATCGAGTCTCCGAACGAAAAGAACATTCCTTCTTTATTGCGTCTGTCTTTGTGTATGGTATCTAAAGGTTTTAGAAAAAACATAAGTTCTATATCACATACAAGATGACAGAAACAATCATCATTCGGAATAAGTAGCGTTCATCGTCAGAGCCTGCAGTGGTCTCAGTAGCAATATTCTCCCAAGAACACAACATAAAGACACGACCAGAGCTAGAACCCAGACCTCTCGTCTAAAGATCCACCAAAGGACCTGCCATCGGGGGAGGGGAGGTTGTGTCACGAAAAAATTTACCTGATTCCCACCAGGCTCTGTAATATCTTATGATCCCCCCCCCCCCCCTCCGATTAGCAGTTAATTGGCGCGGAAACCATCAAGTTAAGCTTACCACTTCTTCCGTGATGTCGCAGATGTTGCAGTCAGAGAGAATGAGAAGGAGGAAAGAAAAAGAGCAAACAGGTAATAATATCAATATATTTAGTTTTATGTTTCAATACAAAGTACCTTTGATGTAAGGCTTCCATCGGCCGTTCACCCATCGACCAAAACCATCCCAGAGGAAAGTTCCACATGACGAGTCACATGTATATTGACGGAAGCTGGAATCTTTTGTGGAAACTTTTTTCACCAAAGTTTCGACTATGGATCGAGGTAATAGTTGAATTACTTAAAACAATGATAATGAAAATCATTTTTCTTCATTAGCTTTCTCTCTGTTGATTTAATCAGAAGGCGAGATTCAACATCGAAAAACAACGCTGCAGATTTGTTTTTTATTCCTCCTACCCACGTCGCAGAATTTCTAAGACATTCCCTGTGGCCACGTAACGCCACAAAATTAGAGAAAGCAGAGGATGGACGACTTGATTGATTTAATGTGTCAATTAATGGATTAATTGACACACACTCCCTAAAAGAACTTGATCAATTCGATTTTATCCCTTCCGGAACAATGAAATAATAGGCAAACATCAAATGAGAAGAGCTCTTATCTCTTTCTACTCACTGTGGCTCTGGTTGTTTTTCGATGGAGGAACAGTAAATTTCACTTTTTCTTTCCCCCGAAATGGAGCGATCAGGAATGGCCTGTCCCCCTTTAAGATGCCGTCGGGTTGGTTTTTACCTTGTGGATTACCTGAAAGAGAAAAATTAAAAAAGTAGATGACGTACTAGACTTCTGGTGCAGGAGAAAAACAAATTGGAATTGTAGAACTGGACCGCGGAACTGGACCACGGAACTGGAGGTGAAGAAGGTCAACTTACGGCGTTTGTATCAAGCCGAATTGCGCAGAGGCGCATTCAGGAATTCCTGACGGGTGGGGTCCAAAGTTTGGCCTAAGAAATGTTTCTCAGCACTGTAGCCTCAATAATCTAAGAAATACTGCAAGACGTGACTCGATGATACAATACGATCGAAGCGGAAATTGCACCACGCATCAAACTGTAGGAGAATTTTAAAAAAGTCACAAAAATAACCTTTATCAAGCGTAAGGTTATTTAGGGTTATTGGCTCTATTTATCAACATATCTCTTAAGTTAAGGTTTATTCATCATATAATTTATGGGACAATTAAGGGCTTAATTAAAGGGTGTTGCGTATGAATTATTCAATACTCATTTCACTTGGTGACGTACTCTAGTGATACATTTAATCATGATAATAATAAAATAAGGCTTGATAAGATCAAGCAACTTTGCTGCACTATAAGATCGTAAATAAGATGTAAGACTGTACTGTCTTAATCTTTTGGACGAACAGTAGTTCGGGGAACAATTAGTCTTTCTTTCAATTTAAACTGTGCCAAGGAAAGATATACCCTGTATTTGTGTAGCTGTCAGAGAGTTTTTTCAGGAGTATTATTTTCACCTTCGGATGAGAGAACCTCAGTTTGTTTTAGGCTGTAAATACCTCACACCTTACATCTCCAAGTCACAAATTCGTGATTTTGCTGAACTCATCAAAACTTGGTTCCTTTTCTTATCTTTGTCATATTTTCAAACCTTTTGTTCTCCGTTTTCGTCTTCGGGATGCAAATTCGATCACATATACTATCTGTTTACTCATTGATTGACGCGTTCTTTCCTGGCCGGAGGTTCTTTTTTTATATGATCTTTTCAAAGAAAATTTTTTTTTCATTCACAAACAACTCGGGACTTCATTTGATCTAAACAGCTGAAATCACTAACCCATGCATAATAAACATCCTTATGGAACAGAAAATTGTAATTTATTCCTTTGCCTTAAATATGAGTAAGCTTTAATGTTGAAAGAGCAGAAGAGACTTGTAACGGTTGTAACACAGTTGTAAGAGGACTGACAATAAACCCTCACCCTCCCCCCTTCCCTAGTTTGGAATCAACGAAATTCTGTTTGGTAACAAAACACAACAGTAAGAGACCAATTCCGGCTTAACACCACGCGTTCTGCTTCGTATCTGTTACAATAGGGTCTAATCTGCGACCTAACACCTATATGTTAAAGTGAAAGAGCTCAGTGCGCAAACTAATGGCCTGACAGAGCCTCTTTAAGGTCACGAGAGCGAAGATCTTATAGAGGGTAATGTGCATAAAACAATTGGTATCCGTTTGTTACCTTTCCTAAACCAATGTGGAGGTGGGTCTTTGAAGCCATGACAGAGGCTGTAATCCAGGAATATTTTTGCTTCGTATTCACCTTCCTCGAGCATAAGAAATAAAACCTCATAGCTTCCGTTATTAAGGTCGATGACTGTTGGAGCTAAAGACGAGGGCCCATGAAGGTGAATTCTCCAAGAATCTCCCCCAATTGTCTTCAATTCATTGTTAACTGACACCGACTGAATAAAAAATCGGCTAAAGTCGCCGGACGGTTTAATATCCCATTGTGAAATATAACTCTTTTGTGGATCACTCATTTGATTGATTCCAAACCTGCTTGGCGCCCCCCAAACAGTTGAATTCCAACATGGACGAAGAACATCTTTCCACTCCAAACGAGCTCGCTGCATTCGACACCAGTCATTTTGAAAATTTTCCAGCGCTTTTTCCTCAGGAAGCTTCTGCCGAAGGTTTTTGTTCGCGGCTGCCGACCCGTTGTTTTTCAAAAACAATTCGTTTGTTTCCCTACGCTCTTTAGTCTTCAGCCGCTCCGAGCGAACAGAATTAGCAGGAAGAACCTTGCCGACCAAGTTTGCCGTGGTTATCAACGATAAATTTTTCTCTGAATTTTTACTTGCGTAAAAAGCCTTCGATTCATCAGCCAAACCAAAGTTGTGAAGACCACTGAATGCAAATATTAGGCGATCAAAAATCAAGACTAGAATCCCAAATGCTACGACAATACACAGCATCAGAAAGTACTTGACAATACTTCGAGGCATGTCGAATTCTCGTGTTGATGTAAAATTCAAAGCTAAGAACGTAATGAAGGCTAGCTTAACGATGGTGCAAGTTGTCTTTTGTCTTTGAGAATAGGTGTGTTTATCACGGGTGGTGAGATTTACAGACGAACAGGTTGCTGTCCTACACTACTCACCTACCAGTTCAATACTCAACCTTGCGACCTTAAAAGAAGCCGTCGAATTCGGTTTTCGGTAGACCTTGCAGCCATATGATCACTCGTTAAACGATAAGTAGGCCCATCATTTATGAAAGAGAAACATGTTTCCAATTAATAGCACCTCTTTGGGACCTAAAATTTCTTATACCTGAAAAGGGAGCCAAAGTCTAAAATTACCCCGCAATAGTCGTATATCTTCCAAAAAGTCACTTACAGCGTTTCTGCGCAGGCGAAAAATGTCTAGGTGAGCGGCTAAAGACAACATCAAAGCACGCGTTAACTCCTTGACCGACAAAAGCTGGCGACAAAACAAAACGAGTTTAAGGAACAGTGTCACCGTGGCGCATGCTCAGTCACGCAAAAAAACCTTCTGTAGTTGAACTGAACTGGTTGTGGAGTTCTATCGTTCTCTATCTTTGCCATCCGCGGATGATTCTTTTCAAACACACGTTATTTTCTCAAATTTGATGTATTTCTGCGCGCATGCCCAATCGTGACACTGGTCCTATTCTAAGGAGAGTTAAAAACAATTTCATTTTCATGAAGGCACTTTTTTTAAATTAACTTCTTCGGTTAATATAAATGAGTTATCAAACTATGTCTAGTTTAATACAATGAATTATTACTCAATAAAATTCCATCTAGTCGACTGAAAATCCTTGAATAGATGCGTTATGGAGATGGTATTGAATTTGGGAGCGATCTTCACAGTAACGAACACTACTTAAGCAGTAGTGAAATTAACGCCTGGAAAAAAAATTCAGGCCTGTACGAGATTTGAACCCATGACTTCTGCGATACCGGTGTAGTACAGTACTTCACCAACTGAGCTAACAAGGCAACTGGGAACTGGTTATTATGTTGGTTCGTAATAAACCCGCGAAGTGATGAATAAATAAATCAGGCCTGTACGGGATTTGAACCCATGAACTAACAAGCCCGTACAGGCCTGAATTTTTGTCCGGCCTGAATTTTTGTCTAGCCTAAGTTTCAGTACTGTTTAAGTAGTGTTCATTACTGCGAGGATCGCTTCCATATTAATTTCTTAATCAGCAGTTCACATATATGAATTTCATATATTCACGGAGATGGTTTTTTCAGCCAATCAAGGGATGCGGATTTATATAACGCCAATGAAGTGTCCATAGGTCATCGTCATCTTTTTAAAACACTCAGAAAGGCATGGTGTGGTATGTCCACTTTTCCGATCCTTTTCATCTTCTTTTTTCCTTCCTTTTGCTGCCGAAGTAGTTTCATTTTCCTTGTCACATCACCACCATACTAGAAAGAAAAAACAATTACTGTACTTACATCAATTAGAAAAAACAGGCTAATCTCAGAGGTCATAACGAAAAAAATTACCATGAACGGAAACAAGTTAAAGAGTTAAAACTTTTAAAAAAAAATGACCCAGTTGGGCAAAAATTAACAAAAAGGTAACAAAAACATAAGAAAAAAATTATGATCTTCTCATCTGTGCAAAAATGACACAAAAAAATTAAAAGGCACTAAAGACTCAAAGAAACAACCGGAGCTGAATATTAATCAAGAGTCAATACTTACGCATTTTGCAGTGACATCCTTTCTTAAGGGCTTTATTCTTGAGAAAAAGAGAAAAATAGAGGACTAATTTATCCCTGCATTTCCAACTCGGCTGGTGTATCTAAATATCATCAGGTAATGCCTTGCTTTCGGAAAGCACAACGTTACGGATCTGACTCTCTCAATAGTTATTTAAAGAACCGGAACTTACGTTTCTCTTGATGTGATTTTTCCTCTCACTGAAGCTTGAATAACAATTTCAAATAGTTGCCTGTGCCATAAAAGAAAGCATTAATTGATGATATCCAAACTTCCGATCAATACTAAATAGAATATCTGATGAGTAGTAGCGCGCTAATTCACATCTTACTTTGAATCGCTGCGACAACGATGGACACTGACAAAATTAACCAATAAAAACCTTAAACTGACATCCCGGCAAGGCGCAGAAATGTCCGAGAAGGCACGTCATCCTTAACAAGCGGAAAACTGTGAGCGCACGCGCGAAAAAGCTTAAGCGTGACCGTGGTAACCATTCAGAGCTCTCTGGGATCTTATGGCCACTATCACAACAAATGTCTGACTTTAAGCACTAACCGACTTGTATGATGAAAGAGGGCCAAAGGTATGTCACCATAATCACCTGGGTATGACGTCCTTAAGTTTAGCGCAAATGGACCGTCCTGATTGTAAGGCTTTGTCTTTGTGAACTATACAGCTTAGGGCGTCAACAGCATGACCGTTTATCAGGATATCCATCTGTACAAACAACCACGAAACATGTAAAAAAAATTATACCTTGAGAAAAAAGTTATGTCAATTGTAAATAAGGAATCATTGTACCGCTAAATAGTCGACTACTTTTTAGCAAAATCTACAAAATATTAAAAAGTAAAATTTCAGCTTAGCCCTACCCGAACAACGTTTGTTTCTCTGTATCCAACATCTTCATAATCAAAGCTAAAATAAATTGAAAAGAAGAAAACCAACAATCAGTTTTCAGCCTCTTATCCCGCGGTTTTACTTTCACACTGACGAGTGCGAACCAAGAGTAACCATAGTAACAACTCTTCACAATCCAAGACAAACCTTGCATAGCCAGATGACTTGGATTTGAGATCATCGTAGAAGTCCACGATAACTTCGTTCAGCGGAAGCAAGTATTTCAGCATGACACGTGACTCGTCGATGTAAAGTACTTCTTGCTGCTCACCGCGCCTGCTCTGGAAGTAAAAAAATAAAAAAAGACAAATTAGAACAACCAGGTTTTTTAAGGGAGGGCAGGGGTGGTAACCTGTGCTACTTCAACGGTAATAGCATCCCATATGGGGAGGAGAGGGGAAAATAAGACATGTTACACAATCAGTTTATCCCACACAACTCACCTCGCAAAGACTTAACATTTTGCCCATACACTCTTCAGGGAACACAATCGTACCCATTACATAAGGCTCCAAATACGAGTGCACTTGAGAGGGCTCTGGGAGCTACAAACAAAAATGATTCAATACATGAAATTTTACCTTTAACCGAATTATTCTGGTCAAAACGTTTCAAAGACGATGTAGTAGCAAGCAGTGCTGCCAAGTTAACAGAAAAAAAGCAACAACAAGAAAACCAACAAAATGTAGTCATGAAAAAGAAAACTTACAAAGACAGACATTTTCAGTTTAGCTAGTTTGTTGTATCAAACAGCAGCTTACCTCCAAAGGGTTCAGAATCATCACCTCAACATCATCCTTTTTCAAAATTGCTGTAAAACAAAATGTGGAAAAAAAATCAAGATAAATTCAAAAGTATTTCCCTGTCCTGGTTGATCTCCAGACATGAATTATGATTAATGTACATTTACCCAATATTCTCTCTATAAGCATGTGGTAGAGGACTCACGTTTAAGCCGAGATCTTGATACCAAAAATCATCTTCATTTATATTGATTTCAAGATCCACTAATGGCTATCCTGCCCCTGAATACCATTCTATCCTTCATAGTAAATAATAAACTACAGTTATGCACCTTTGTAAGGAACATTTGGAGCAGTAATGATGATACTTGCATCATATTCCTGAAATGGAAAACAATTGGAAAACTCAGTGATGGCTAAAAAATTCAGATAGGAGATGTGGCCGTCATTAAGTGAGATGTCTTCACTTCAAATTGATGGACAAATATTACAAAAGACACTTTTCTTGTGCTATCCCTTCTGGGAGGGGTTACACCCAATTAATTCAGGTGCCCCCCTATACCAGTCATACAAACCTGCTCCAACCGCTGTTTAAAGACATCCATGTGTAACAAGCCGAGAAAACCCAGACGCCATCCTTGACCCAGAGCCAGACTATGAGGTACAATAGGAAAGAGAAAAACTTTCAGCTGAATACCACATTTCATAATTGAAAAGGAGAATTTATGCTCTCTATGAAGATCTCATCAGTCACAATTTTTTTTGTAATATTATATCAGGTAATAATGATATACAAGCAAATTGAACATGTGATGATCCCATGGGAACCACACAGCATTTTCATTGTATTTCTGGATAGCTTAAGAGATGGCCCTTGTTACATAACTTTTCTGTACCAAAGTATCATCTCACAAAGTTACACAAATAGCATTAGGACATTGTGCATTTAATCCTGTACACATAAAAACATGATCAAACATCAGATTTGCATGCTAAAAATACATCGAACTAGATTAACTACATCATACATCCTGTAGACAACATTTACAAAATGATTCACAAAATTGCAACTTCTATTCGTACCAACTATCTGGGTGAACTGAGACACTAGCATCATTGAGTGTGAGCTTTTCAATTGCAGATCTTAAGTAGAGATGTTCTGACTGATCTACAGGGTACACACCGGCAAACACCTACAAAGAACACAAGGAGGAAAATGAGTCTGGTGAGAAAAGTTTGCCTCAAGAGAATAACACAAGAGTTGAATGTGAAAGAATGAAAAATGTTCAGAATCAACTAACCATGGAGTTCATTGGTTTAAATCCTTGCAGTGGTTCAACAGGTGCATGAGGGTGGAAAAATGTATCACCAATCTGAGCATCTTTACTGTTCCTAATTCCACAAACAACAAATCCTACTTGACCAGCAAATCTGGAAGCAGAACAAGTCAATATGAATTATGCATTTTAATTTACAGGGTACTACCCTGTTAAATAAGACAAGGCACATACAGTACATGTTATAGCAGTGAATTACATTCAGTCTTGATTAATGAGGCTCAAGGGAAAGTTTGGAAATAATTGATTCTATTTTCTTAAAAAATAATATGTCTATGTTTTCCCTCAACAGAACAAAAGCTAGTGAGGCTGTACAACCAAATGAAACAAATCATTGTTAGATCCAAGCAGACTGAAGGAGATTATTTACGTCAGCTGTTTACAAGCATACCACTGGACAGAAACTGGCACCTCTAACTTACAAGTAGTAGGTTCAGGTTTGCAATTCTCTGGGGAAAACTTTCTCCTAAATATATAAATTGGTGTTAAAAATTAAACTTACAGAGCACCAGTAGAGATCTCCCCTGGGTGCATTATTCCAATATCCAAGACTTCATATTTCTGTTGTGTGTAGGCAGACATGACATCATCTCCTGTAGGATAAGAGATGGAAGAGAAAATGGTACATCAGCAGTTCAAGAAGTCTGTTCTGTTACAGCAGAGATTACTTTAAAAAACCACATTGTTAAAAAATTAACAAAAATTGGACAATGAGTATAAATGAACAAAGAAAAAGTCTGATACTATTGATTATTAAGCCTCACTACAGCAGTCATTCCTCAGAGATCTTTACTTCATAAATTATCTGGTATTAATTATTTTAATATTAAACATTGCCTCTAATGGTATTAAGTAAGTGATCCTACCCTTTTTCAGTGATCCATCAAGAACAGCAACAAGGCAGATCACTCCTCTGTACTGATCATACCATGAGTCAAACAGAAGAGCTTTTAGGGGGGCTGACACCTCACCCTGAGGACTACAAGGACTACAATTTAATAACCTCATCTTACAGTGTTGACTGCAAGTTTTAGTTTTCAGTTTTCAAAGTCTATTGAATAAAAGCCTCAATGACAAAGTTCCTCTAGTTAATGGTTGTTGAGATACTCTTATCACAAGAAATATCTATTTTAAATTTTGTTTCAAGGGTGATCATTTGAAATTTGAAATAATTTCCTTTAGTTGTAACTCACCATGGTAATTTTTCAATAATTTCTTTCAGAACAGTGTCCACTCCAACTCCTGTTTTTGCAGAGATCTAGCGTAATACCATACATGAAAGAAAACATTAGAGAGGACAGCTGAAATGGTGCTAAGCCAGAATTTCAAATATTTCTCTTTTTTATTTCCTGTGCAACAGTTTTATCCTCAGGTGTCATTTACAATACATAAAAGATTTAACATTAATTTCTAACTCCGAGAGCTGATTGACAATTAACCTCTTCACTCAACTTAAAAGCATTAATCAGCAAATAGATGTTGAGAATAAAGAAGAATACTGGTGAGAAAGTGTTACCTTGAAATAATATGAAATTCTATCGGCTTAATTTTTGAGAGAATTTCTAGCAGCTCTAAGGGAGAATGATTGATCATATCTTAGGAATTGAAGAGCCTTTGAAAGTAATTGTGCTCATTATCTACATATTTGTTAACTTACTCTTAAAATCTCATTCTGTTTGACATCAAACAATTTTTCCATTTGTTTTGAGACATTGTCAGGATCAGCAGTCTTCATATCAATCTTCAAAAGAAAAAAATTAGAACATTGTTTGCGACTAAATCAGGATTAAAAAGTACTGTATCTGAAAATGTTAAATCGTGACTGTGACATACAATCATGTACCTTGTTGAGTACTGGGATTATATGTAAATCCTTATCAAATGCTAGGAAAAAATTTGATACTGTCTGTGCCTGGACACCCTGCATGAATAAAAAAATAATTGGTACATTTTCTGAGAGTTCATTATCAATAACAATAGATTCATATACATGTACATACTCAAGAAGCTTGCAATGGCAAAATATCAGCAAACAATTCTATGCAACTTGGTTTCCCTACACTACACCCTTGAAATTAGATGAAGCCCACTTTGAAGAATTATTTCAATCAAAGTATTTTGCATCAATAGATAGCATTATTTGACATGGCAGTTGAATGATTGTTGATGAGTATACCATTTTCCGTTTAAAACTGATCTCTAATGAAGCCTACAGACCAATTTTTTTATAAACACACACAACATCTTTTCATGTGGACCTAACAGAGACAGCATGTGTATTTGTGTGTTTCTTGAGCCATTTAGACATCGCAGTATTCACTCTCACTTTCAACACCTGGACTTCCAACAAATCAGCCTTCACTAGAAGTAACCATTGAGTCATTTAACTTGTTCTATGCAAATTAACACCCATAGGACTCAAGCAAGCCTGTTCGGTCTTGATGGCCACTTGTGACTCACACCACACAACAGCATATTTGAAACTCAGGCCTCCTACAGAGCACCTAAGTAATAAGAAAGATGCTTCATGTAACAAGGAAAGATGAGGTACTGTACCTGAGCTGAGTCAACCAGTAAAATAACACCCTGACAAGCAGCTAAAGATCTGGACACTTCATAGCTAAAATCCACATGTCCCTAAAACAGGAAGAAATTATTCACTAATTTGATCTTGTTACACTAACAAGCCTAATATCTGACATAGTGGTTTATTATCAAAGTCAATCTATTGTACACGTATTTACACTCACTGGTGTATCAACAAGGTTTAACAAGTATGTTTCTCCTTCATAATCAAAAATTAATGACGCAGTCTGAGCTTTAACTGTTATTCCTCTCTCCCTCTCCACTTGAAGTTTATCCAGCACTTGCTTATTGACATTGTCTTTTGAAATTGTACCTGATTTCAAAACAAAAAGTTCATTTTCAATAATAATAAGAATAAACAAAGGAAGAGATTATGACTTTCTCCCAGTGACCATTCAGGATATTTGGCAGCGAAACTATTCTTGGTAAATTGCACTTACTTCATGAATGTCACATGAAAATGGCAATAGACTTTACCCAGAAATAAAATGCACAAGTATATCCTAGTTATTATTTTTCAAGTTATTATGCTCAATGTTTTCGCTTCAAGATAATTATCCCTTAGCGCTCGGAAAGTTAATCTGCAAAGATCTCGCAAGCTCAACCACAACTGTTTTAAATTAATTTTTAGTGCTCCGTTTGGTTTAAGCTATCCACTTTTTAGGACTTTTGGTCAACCGTTTAATGTTTTGAGCCAACTGTTTTTATTTTTGGTCAACCATTTAGCACTGTTTTAGCTATCCGGTTTGGGACTTTGGTAAACCATTTAACGTTTCATGCAATCCGTTTTTATTTTTGGTCAACCATTTGAAGGCCTAAGCTATTCATTTTTGGACTTTGGTCAACTGTTTAAATTTTTTGTCATCCGTTTAGGCGGTTATGGAAACCATTTAAACACTTGAGTTGGCTGTTTAGTATCCATTTAAAACCATTTTTCTAGGCTGTTTAACGGACAAGTGTTAGTGTCCGTTTTCCCATGGAGAGTCCCATATCAAGATGTTTTTCTGTTAAACTCAGAGAACCACACAAAGCTGAAATATGTCTGGAATGCATCTTGCAAATGACCAATCATATGGAGATCACAATGTACACAAACCAGACACAAATTTGTGCTATTGTTAGGATTCCTCATGCCGAATGAGCTCATAAGATATTTCCAGCATTCATAGTTTTCTGACTTTTAAAGTAATATACAACACAAAACACTTATTGCATGCATGTAGTCTGAATATTTACAATACACTTGTTACTTACCAGTCATTTCAAGAAGTCTGTCAGCTAAAGTACTTTTTCCATGGTCAATATGAGCAATAATGCTAAAATTTTTAATTCTTGACACTGGAAACATAGACATATCAATTGTATCCTAACAAGAAAATTACAAAAGACATCACATATCATAACTTCTAAGAGATCTGATTTGAAATGGCTTCAGTAAATCAAACCTACGACACAAATTCGAAGAGATCCTTTTCTTACCTGGGTAGGCATTCCATGGCTTGTTGACTGACTGCAGATTCTTCGAAATTGACTCCATGTAATGCCACTAAAAGATTATTGAAAACATCCTTTAACCATTCAACTGTGGATAAGCTATTCAACAATGAGAAACCAACATTTACATGAAACAGAGGATTCAGAGGATACACTTTTACCATCGTCATCTTACTTTCTGTTCTGAAGTGTTTCCTTTACAAGAAAATTGTGCCGAAGGTTGCACCATGTTCTTTTAGTGAGAAACTCTGTGACCTTGCAATAACCAAATGACGTGAAACATCTCCTCAAAAATAGCGATTTTGCGAGTAGTTTTCCGGTTATAGGACTTCCCTGCCTAAAAATCTTCTCAGCAATACTCATTTTGATTACATCAATTATCCTTTTTATCTTTTCCAAGTTCACAGTTTACCCATTCAAAATATCATGAGTTTCGCTAGCTCGCTCTATAGATTGGTCCGCCATTTTTGTTTATCTTGGATTTCCGCTGACTTTATTTGAGCCCATGATAGCAAATTATGTTATTTGATTGGCCTTTGATTGATTTAAATCGACGAAGCAGCCAATCACAGCCTTAGCATTTGGATCCCAAGTCGTCTCCAGCGAAATTTGAAATTTACCCCTCGTAAACATTCTCAATCTGCACTCAAAGCCGTATTTTTGCAATCATGGATAACGAAATATATTTTCTCAAAGAGGAAATAATCCGTTTAAAAGAAGAAAACGAAAGCTTGCAGCAGGATGGACAATTGGCAGGAGAGATTGGGAAGAATTTGCTCGAAAATAACCAGGAATTGGAAAGAAAACTTGAAGAAGTGAACAACGACTACATAACAACGTTAGGGAATCTTGAGGTACGCTGTAATATTCATTCCTGTAAGCACTTAGTTTGAAGAAAAATGTTCTCTATGAATTTATTTTCTTCATAGGAACTAAAGCAAGAGAATTATTCTTTGCGATCCAGACTTGAGACAGAAGTTCGAACCAACTCAAACCATGCCCATGAATTGGACGACTTGAAGGTAAAGCTTCAAAAGGAATTCGAAGCGAAAGAAAAATCTCAACAGATGACAACAGAAAAAAAGATCTGTGAACTGAGAAAAGAAATAGAATCTCTGCAAAACGATATCAGCAAGCACACGCTGGTAGAAATTCAGCTGCAAGAAAAGATTAAGAAGCAGGATGAGATGCTACAAGCTGCTCGCCGAAGCAGCGAAGAACTACAACACAAAGGACGATCACGATTAGAGAGTATTGAAGAGTACATCCATCTAGCCTCCGAGCTCTCAGAAGAGAGGGATACTTTGACCATGAAGCTGGCCGATTTGAAAGATAGTCAGGAGAGAATTTTATTCGACAGAAACGTACTGAAGGAAAGAGTTGAGCATCTTGAGGAAGAACTCCAAGAGAAGGCTCGACAAGGGCAAACCTGGTTTAACTGTTTACAGGTAAGACAATTTATAGGTCTAGGGTGAAAACAATTTTTTTCGCTTAGGCAAATCCTGAGTACGATCGAAGCACGCAAGTGGTGTGGATGGGAGATGATCGAAGGAAAAATCGCAACTAACGAGTTAATTTATTCAAGCTAATTATTGAATAACCGAATATGCAAACCAGAAATTAACCAACCACTCGACAGAACACTTTCGCGGGGGGGGGGATGGCGAAGAAGTAAAATTCATTTGTCAACGATCTGCATGCTCTCTCCGCAGATGCAGTATAATCCACCCCAAAAGGAATGAGCTTTAACAAAAACCTTGTATTTTGTATAATTTTAACAGGAAGCTCGCAACGAAGCAGGCGAGTTAAAAGCTGAACTTGAAAACCTAAAGGCAGACAATGCCAGGAGAAACTTTGGAAAACAAGGAAATTCTCTCTTTGGAGAGGTATGTTGTGGCTTTGTGTAACTTCAGTTGTTCTTTAGTCATCGCCACTTATTTGTCAATCAAGGTGTAAGTTGGCCTGAACGTACCTGTTTACAGGTTGAGGACCAGCGATTGGAACTTGAGAAGAAATATGGTAGTCTACGAGCCAGACACGAGGGTGCGATGAAAGTGCACAACATGACGAAACAACATCTACAGAGACTGAAGGTAACAAAAAGTTTTTGAAAGGAAAATCATTGCACAAGCTAACCCTGTTTTACCAGGGAAATTAATTTATTTGACGAAAAGGTAAAAATAAACCCAGGAAACAAAAACATTTTTTCTTTACAGAATCAAGTAGCGACTCTGCTCCAAGTCAAGAGCTGTCATGCAGACGCCTCACAGATCCAAAGGCTCACCCAGGCATTGGTGCAGAAAGAAGGCGAGGTGAAGATGTTGAACACAAAGATATCAAGTCTAGAGAAGCAGAAGGTAGTACTCTTTATCTCCCTTAGCTTATGGCGTTTGGTATCAGTCACTTCAATTGTTGCTCCGTGATTTTCCTATACAATAATTATGTCTTGGTCGCTTGCTCGTCACGTGGCAAGTTTGGAGGCTTATTGGCTCCTTGTAGTTTTTACCTTTGTCCTAATTAGCCGTTGTTACGTTAATTTTGGTTTCTGATTCTAAATCATATATTGCTCCTATAAGTTACACACCAACCGCGTGTTTCCCTGATCTTTTGTCCTTCAGGAAGAGCGCAACATAAGCAGCCGTTTGATGGAGTTTCACGACGCATTCTCGGAGTTTGGAGACAAGAAGGACTACGTGAACTTTCTTCAGTTACAGCTTGAAGATTCCAAGTAAGCTTATGTGTAGCTTGCACGGAGTAGTTTATCTCACAACCCTGAATCTAGACCTTATACAAGACAACTACCAGAGTGAAGTCGAATGGCCTACTAATCTCGAGTCAGAAATCTATTATATTCTGACAATCTAAATGGGGGGAGGGGGGGGGAGTTGTGTAAGGATGGAGTTCCCTGCTCTTTACCTGATTCTTCGTTTTATACTTTGTCTTTAGGAAAGCCTTGGCAGCACTGAATAAAGAATTGCAGACAAAAACATTACTTCAGTTATCCGAAACTGACAGACTTCGTCACACTGAACATCAACTGCATGTGTCCGAGTCTAATGTCGAGCGACTGAACGGTGAAAATATCAAGCTTAGGTTGAAAATTGACGACTTACGACTGAAGCTGCAGAGCCGTAAGTATTGTCGCCAAAGATAAATCTGCTTTAGTCACCTACAGATTAAATTGAAACACACAGTCGAAGGATTCATTTGAGGAGTAAGTTGAGGGATGTGGAGGAGTAAAAGATGAAAGAGAACGAAAACGACAGAGAGGAGGAGATAATTTCTCCCATTTCAACAAGCGGGAAAAAGCAGGAAACAAATTTTCCAACGTTTCTCTGGTCTTGGGTGACAAGAGAAGGTCAACTTTTCGCTCAATATTTACTTTTTCTCTCTTTTTTTTCCTCTTGTTTTCAAGATTCCCAAAAAGACCCTCAAAATGTCTCTCAAACATCCACCTCGTCTGGTCTCAGGAAAACAAAATCCGCCATTTTGCTCAGTGGGGCCAATTCAAAAAATACCAGAACATCAGCACTCATAAAGAAAGGACAAGAAAATACCGTGTCAATTAATGCAAAGGTTGCGAAACTAGAGACCTCAATTTTAAAACCTCCTGTTGTTCTGGTTAACACTCTTGACACAACAAGCAACAAAAAGCAACGAGGCAGCGATGTGACTTTTCCTTTACAAGTTGAATCTACTGCAGAAAGTTTAATTACCAGCAATGTGCCACGGAAATTGCCTTTATCAAGTAATGACGTCGAAAACGAGGCCAAAAGTAAGGTAGAATTTAAAAGAAAGCCGATGGTGCGCTTTCAAACTGCAACGGACGACATCGATTTATCAGAAACTCAAAGCACGCATGACAATGCACCGGACTATGGAGGGCTCTTGAAAGAAAATTCTCAACCTGAGGTAAACTAACTTGATGCTGGTTACAGTTACATTGAAATCCGAGCTAAGTGTTATTCTGGTGCCTGTCCTGTAGCATACGCGACACCAGTATAATAAGTGTTCCTAAATGGTTGTCACTGTTGCAAAATCTCTTGTATACATATCCTAGGTATAAAAGCCCGAGTATGTTGGCATTAGCTGATTTTATATACTTTAATGCCACTAGCGAGTATTGACGCCGTTAAAAAATCTAGTAAAACGACAAGGCGTGTATCTTTCTCCCCCACAATTACTGGTATTGTTTGCAATGTATTTATTTGTATTTCACAGGAGAGCCACAAAGAACAGATGCCCTCGGTCACTGTGAGAGGACAGAAAACTGCTCCTGTTGTTATCAACGTCAAGAAGGGTGAGACCAAAAATCAATGTCCCCAGCAATGATGGAGGAGATAAAAATCTCGAATTTACGAAAGTTTTTAAATTTAGATTGGAAACTACCGAAATTAAATTAAACTCTCCCGTGGGATATCTGCTTCACTTCATTATGTAAATTGACCTCGTATTCGGAATCCGAGGTCAACTCTCATCCTTCGCTTTCACTCCTTGTTTCGAGTTAATACATGCAAGGTAAATGAAAAGGAAGTTTAATACAGCAGTCTTTTATTGCCGTGTCGTTTAAAAGGTTAGAAACCTGCCATGACTCGTTCCATTCTTCTTGCATTATATAAGCTAGAGCGACAGTAGTTTACTGGCGCAAGTCAAACCCTTGATAAAAGGATTAAAATAAGTCTTCCCTTTTTTCCTCTGTCGCCAACCTTCGAATTTCGCTTTTCACAACAGAAGTTAACGCCTTATTGCAGATTAATGGTTGATGGTAGAGTCAAATGATTGATCTAACCAAAGTTCAGATAAAAGGGTCTGATTAAAGAAAAAGGCAAATTCAGTTGAAGTACATTGCCAACATTTATTATCACACTTTTAATTATATTAGCCTCTGTGGAGCTCTCTGTCAGGAGACATGGGGAAGTAAGCCACTTTTTTCCCTTGCTCGCCCATTTCTCTTTTTCAGAAAAAGCTTTCATTAGGCAATAATTTACTACTATTCCAGTTTGAAAGTAGAGAACGACTTAACTGATAAACTATAGCCAGAACACACTTGGCATTTGCGAGAATAAAACCCTTGTGCGCCTACACCTGAGGGAAATCTCGCACTTAATTTGAGAACTAACACTAAATAAGACAAAAATGAAGTTATTTGTCAGGGTAACAAAACTTGCACGTTAAAATATGGAATTATGCACCTTATCAACTACTGGCATTCAATCCAAGGGAAATTCAATCAACAACAAATTACGCCTGCGTAACTTACGATTTGTGAAGGTAGCTTAGTGACCAAAAAAATAATCAAAATCTTTAGATGTGAAAAATTTACATTTTGAAAATAATTTTTTAGTATCTGCAATGATATAAGATATTAAGTTAAAGAGACAATTTTCTGTGATTATTTAGTTGTTTTTCATTTCAACTGATGGTTTTAGCAATAGTCATGGCAAAGTAAATGTGGTCTAGATTCTGTGTTAAGGTGCCTACCTTCCGTATCTCACTACTCTACTCACACCCAGCGATCAGCACTTTTTCAAATTGACATATTTTGATCGCTTTCTTGCTTTTGTTAGTAGCACTCAGTATAAGACCAAGGTCGTAACTCTCCTATGAACAAATATAGAAGATGTACCGCCAATCAAAGCCATTTTATCGCTTACTAAACACTCTATGCAACCTGAATTCTCTCCTAGAGGTGAAACTTAGGCTCAAACATTGTCCATGTTCTTTTCATTCGGAGCTAAATATAATTTACTGATAAGGGCAGCAGGCGTGCTTCATTGGTTATCTGCAAATGAAGATAAAAAAGATTAAAGATCACTGCAAATAAGAGAGAGAGAAAGCGAAGAACTCCTCACAATTTATAACAATACCGACATAAAATTGTGAGAGGCTTTAAACTGATTTTTGCCTGAGGTAGAGCATGATTTGGGAAGATGCCTAAGGAATTTATAAAATACTAGACGTTAAGTTCAAATATAAGAGGTCATACCCTCAGTGTAGGCCGAGTCTGCTATGACAAGGTAAAGTATTTTGGGATACAGATGCTCTTTGTCTCCTAGCAGTTCACTGATCTCGCCTGCAGTGCCGATCTCCGCGCTATCGTCTTCGTTTTCTTGGACAGACTGTCGAGAGACAAATTCAGTCAATGTAATACTCAAAGATCGATGTGAAAGTTATTCTCTTTATATCAAGTGGAGCACGGCTTGAAATCCAAAAGAGAGGACGAGCTATTCACACTGAAAAGGTAACACTGAGAGGACTCCTATGTACGAGACTCATGTTTCCTTTTTTAAAAAATCATTGGACACATCTTTGTACCTGGAGAAACTTGTAGACGCGTAGAAATCTGTCAATTCCTAGTTCCTGTTCAAGCATCAGACGTGACTCTTCCAGTCTTTGAAACAAACTCTCTTCTTCCTCCTGACGCTTCTTATCTCGCGCCTCCTGCATGGCTGAGTCTTCGTCATCGTCGTCGTCACCTGATGAAAAAAACGATGAGTCATGATTCACAACAATCTACGATACAACTTGCTATACAGGAACAGAGGGAGGTTGGACAACAACAAAAAGTTTACCAAACATTCTTTGCCCTCCAATCTATATGGTAGTTTTCATATCAAGGAATTTCGATTTGATCCTCCATACCTGAGTCCCAGTCCTCATTCAGATTGGATAACTCAGATGACGATCGTTCTAGTTCCACTCCGTCGCTTTCATCGTCTATTTAGAGAAATAGATAACAAAAACTTGCATGATTAAAATCACGAATCAGTCTTCCAAAGAGGGGTTCGTTTTCATATTACTTGAGAGAGCCATAGTTTCACCCACTTCCTCCTTCGATTGGAAAAATGGCTTGGAAACGAGGTTGCGTGTCTATGTAACCTGCACCAGCTAGATCCTGGCTGTTGGTCAGTGGAGACTTATGAAGGGAATGACCAGGGAACAATTTTTTCTAAGAAAAAATATTCCAATAAAAGGGGAACGGGTGATTGAAAATTTCACCTTTTGGAGACTGCGTGTCCGCGCAGTGATCCCAGTCCAAACTGTTATCAGTTCCACGCATGCTCTTGATGGGTGAAGGAGATCGTCCTAGGGAGAAGTACATAGTAAGAAAGTCATGTGATCTATCATGGGTGTGAAGGGCTAATGACAAAATGAAGAAATTATATACTTAAATCTTACCAGTGCTTACAAGTACGTCTCTCATGGAATTCAACATATCCTCGAATTCCTCATTTTCATCTTCGTCGCTGAGGAAAGAGATCATAAAATGACCGAGTAACTAAATTGTGAAATAATTACAAGCTTCGCTTCTTATATGTATTATAAGACTATAAGGATACGAAAACAGTTGGTCCTACAAACTTAAGTTAAGGAATTGGTCGTTAGGGGATGTTATATCCTCAAAAAGTTTTGGATCGAAATCAAACCACGTTCCAAAAGCCGAATAGGCAAAATAAAACACCCAAAAAATGATATTTTTAAAATATAAGGAGGAATTCGTGAATAACTGAGCAAATAATAACACATTCATCACCTCTTGTTCTCTAAAAAAGAACAGTAAGGTAAGGCTACTACAAATACCCTGCAAATGCATTGAAAGACATTTTCTTTTCACACGCGCAAACCTGCCAACATTAAGTTCTTCGTCTTCGTCATCGTCTTCGTCATCATCCTCGTTATCATCGTTATCGTCATCATCCTCGTCGTCACCATCATCATGCTCTTCATTCCCTCCGTCAAGTTCTTCGTCCCCTTCTAGATCTCCTTGCTCATCAGCATTTTCCTCTTCGTCTCCGTGTTCATCCTCATCTGTCTCCCCCTGCTCCTCATCTGAAGTCTGTGTACGTCCGGAGGTAGCGGTCTTAAACAACATCCTCAAGTCGGGTAAAGAGCAAGTTCGTAGCCTCTGCGACAGAATAAGCATAAATATTGTCAATCGTGTAATTTCCACTACAGCAGCCCACAATACCCAGGATGACAGAGAAATATCCGAAAAATAATCCGAAAAAAAGCTTCGATTAGATGTGTGAGAGATCGACGACGGCCCTAAGATAGAAGATGTAATTACTTACTGTAAAATTCGTATCATAAATTCCTGTTTGTAGCTCTGCAGCCCGCATTGATTTGTTTGGTGACCCATCAGCCGTATGGAATGATCTAAATTCAAACACACAATAATGTGAAACAGTTAATATGCTGAGATGTCCAATGGATTCTGAGTGGCGAAGCTTTCAACCAGGACTGTGCTCTTCATCACAGAACAAATCATCAGGTCTTAAAACTGGACAATATAACTAAATTGTAAGCTGAGTGCTGCAAACTTACGAGTCGTCAACCGAAATATCTTGTACTTCCAGATCCTCTGATCTTGTTTCCTTCCTTTCTTCCTTCCTATTAACTCGTTTAAACAGAGCTTCTTTTGGTTCCTGTTCGGCTTGGGCGCGTGACGCAGATTTTTCATCGTGTGATTCATTGTGTGACTCAGATTCTGCGCCAGCACGCTCGCGTGACGCCATCAAGAACTGTTGATAGGCAGCTCTCTTATCATCGTCTACCCAGGCACTGCGGGGAGATTTTTGTTTGAAAGCACCTTGAACATAGCGAAAATAGACAGCAAGTTAGGTAAGTCACTTATCCAAGTAATAACTATATTTAACTAAATACTGACTTTGTACTCAATTACTCTGTTTGACATGGTTTAAAATACCAAGAAAATCTATGTTTTGACTTGGGGGTCTAGAACCTACCATCAGTTGGTGTAGTGGCCTTTTCCCCTCCCCAGGCCTTTACCGGACTCTTCGGTTCGACCTTCTCAGGCGAAGTTTCGAGGACCTTTTCCTGGGGGACACTCTTCACCTCTTCTAAATTCAAATCATCTGAATTCTCCGCTTTTACAGTACCGTTGTCTTTGTTGATGTCACCCTCTCCGGTTCCCTCGGAGATCGTGTCCAATACAGGAGATTTTTTATGTTCATCTTCTGTTGTTCCAGATATGGTAATTGTGGCCCCTCCTTTGGAGCTCGCTGCCTCAGGCATCTCATCACTCTTATCCTTTTTGACAATAACAGTTTGTGGAGACTTTGAGGTGGGCGATTTCACCACTGTTACTCCTAACAAGGGAGGTACAGTGGGGCTTTGTACCGTGACAGTTGTGCCCATCGCAGAGACTGAAGAGCCAGCAGGTGATTGTGTGACAACAGCTGTTGAAGCCTTCTTTGCCGCATCTTGTTCATCAGCTCCTCCTATGGCTGTTGTTGCAGTTTGGAGCTTGGCGTTACCCAAAGCCGAGATGATTTCTGTCATTTGTGGTTTTCCCCATTGCTTCCTGGCGGCATCCGCTGCTGGTTTCATTACTGCATCGCCTGCACTGGTTGCTGGAAAAGCGAGAAAGAGAGGAATTAAACAAGCTTCATGCACTGAAAGTTGCTTATTTCTACGTTAGTGAGGAATGGAACACTTAATTGATCATCGGCAGTTAGTCTTGCTCCGACCAAGCGCCAAAGAGGACAGTGGTGCGTAACCTGATTAGCCTGAGAGCAGAGGAAGGAGGCCAACTTTTGAACTGACCCTCCATTCAACAGGTCTGCAAAATCACTTCTCACCTTCCATCGCCGATGATGTCACCTCTAATGGTAGGATACGTGGTTGGAAAGGAATATCTCCCCAGGCCTTTCGCGGTGCAAGGGGCTCCTTCTTGTCTTCTTCTGTCATCTTACGAAGATCATTCTGAAAAAGAAGAAATGAAAAATAAGAGAACAAGTTATAAAATTCAGTTGCAATTGGACAAGATGATCCTGGCAAAAGATTTGGTAGTTTACCTCTGAATTTGATCTGAACAGCATTGTGGCTCCTACTTCTTTTAAAGCTGTCTCAAGACCCACAGGGGCAACCGCTGGCTTTGGCGCGGGCTCTGTGACAATTCAATCCATTAGATTAAACTTAAACCGTTACAGAACCAGGTTACATATACACGGAGGAAATACAAAACAACAATCATCAGAATTGCAATGAAATTATACCTGCTGGTCTTTCATACTTTGCCAAAGCAGGGAGCGGCCTGTAAAAGAGCGTCACAGAGAAGCAATCAAGACTATGGCCCTTCACTTGCGTGATAGCATGAGGTGGATTTTATTTTTATCGTTATCATATTCCACTGAAATCTCCAGTACACTATCGCAAAGAATTTCCTCAAATCTACGTAAGATAATCTGCAGATCAAACGAATTATCAAACTAAAGTGGCTCAAAACAAGCGAAATACCTTTTATCAGGATCCTGTCTTTGATTTTCCTACAAAAAAAACCGTCAAGATTTATACATTAGTGACATAAAACACAAGTAACCCTTAAAAAATGATGGCAAACTGAAGAA